CCATCCCTGAGGACCTTCCACCGTATCAGTCTATCACTTCTTCAGTATATCGTAGACAGTACTTGTATACTTTGTCCTCCGGCATAAATATCGGATAATAATAATAACTTTATTACACAACTGCACCATCGGTGGGTGCTGTATGGTAAGGATACAGATCAGAAAAAACAAACACAAATAAACAAAAACAACAAAAGTTTCAAAATTACAAACAAAACAAAGGGTATATATAAAATACGTATTACAATTAGGTATTATATTAAGTATTTTGCAAGTGCAGTACTACTATTTATGATGCGAGTGAATATTAAATTTCGGTTAGTTGTACTACACATTTCTAATTTACAGTCTTCTAAGAGGGTATTTCTTTCTTGAGTGAAGAAGCAACATTCAAGGATGAAATGTTTTTCATCTTCTACAGTACCTGTGTTGCATTTTTTACACAATCAGTAATTTGCCTCCATTCTTGGAAATTTTCTCCTGCCCAATTCAATTTCCAAATTATGGTCACTAAGTCTAAACTTGGTAACCATTCTTCTCAAATTGAAGTCCTAAATTTCTGTCAAATATCTTTCAAATTCATATTCCATTTTAAACAAATTATACGTTCTTAGTTTGTTTCCTGAATTTCCGTTTTTTGGGACATGACTAAGTTGCTGGTACATGCTGGTACCATGTTTGTATATATTTATTTTTTAATTTTTCTTCCAACAATTTTGTTAATTCAGCGATGTTTCCCACTTTATATATTTTATTTACTTCAGATAAGTCAGCATGTCCAAGAATTGTTTTAACATGTTTTATCCAGCTTGAGTTTGAAGACACTGTTTCTTTAAGTGCACTTTTTAGAATATGATTTTCAGGTAACAAAGACAATCTGTGCCAATATTTAATTAGCTATAAAGTTGCCTTAATCCTTAAAGGAATTCTACCAATTTCGAAAGCGTGAGATTGTAATGAAAATTTTGTTCATTAATGCTGTATGATAACGCTTTCTCTGGGGCCTTCAGAGTCCCGTGTTGACTATGTCTCGGCCCATTTACTTACTTACTGTCAGTATCTGAGAAGATAGTAAAAAAAAAAAAGCTAAAAATCAGTTACCCGTGCCAAGAGAGCCGCAGAACCAAAACAATCTGTCAGCCGTCGTCGTCCACAGAAGCGATATGATTTTACACATCGAAATTGAGAATCGCCCATTCTGGGCTAGTACCATTGTCAATTTTTGGGGAGTGGAGAACCATTTATACAGGGGACGCTTCTGTAAGAAATTGTTAAAATTGTCCAATAGGTTACTAGTATTTATTAGAGATGCCCGGGAACCAAAATTGATGATGTAAATCACTCTCGCGACAAAAAAAAAACGGCGATAATGGCCAAGGGAGTGTTTCAAAAACATATTTTATACAAATCAGTCCACCAATTTTTAATTATATGTTTCTATCATAAAATGTCAAAATCAAAGACGAATATTGGTTTCAGGCCTAGAAGAAGGGTAAATAAATCACTCCAAACAATTTCTGGGTAAAAGTATGAAAATTTGCTATGAAAATCTGTCGCTGCTGGTAAATAGATAAATTAAAGAACTACTCGCCGGCTAAAATATGACCTTATACAGATATCCTGAGTAAAAAAATTTTAGAAAAAAATCAAATTCTGGAATAAACTGAGTTTTAGAAAGAAAGAAACGCATAGCACTGACGATGTCAAAAATAGCGACTGTGTACTGATCATGTGACAATTCTTTGCCAGGGAAGGAGGCCAATTCACACCTACATGTACATGTGATACAATGATTGATTTCAGACCAGGGATAGAGGGACTATGTATCATGCATTTTTTTTATACTGCTTATTGACATACTGCACCACAAAAATAACTGATTTGCAGTAATTCATCAAGACACTTCACTATGTGGTCAGTAATATTCACTAAATTTGTTATATGGTGTATATGGGTCTTTTCAAACTGGCTTTGCAATTCCTATCACCAATTAGATATACATGTAGTATCACAGCATTTCAGCTCATTTTTAACAAATCCCAAATCACTCTGGATGTGTACTATAGCTACATTCACATGGCAGCATTACTCATCAAGTAACAGGAGATTATCTCCAATGCATTTACACGGTCATGGGCCAAACGAGAGCCGGGATCTGCCAGAGTTAAATTCAGTTCGGTCAGTGCCAAACAGATCAGTGCTGTCAAATACTTAGTATGAAACAACATGGCTGAAAACGATTTTGATGTCGTGCTGGTGTTGTTGTTTCTTTACAAGGCACATTGCTGTTGAGCTGGGAGAAAAAAGAAACAGTCATTAGTCTGAGACAATGCACTGGTGTTATGATATAATTATCTTGAATAAACAGGATACACAGCAGCTAAAATACGCTGAATGGGTCATAGCCCATTCATCATTGTTGTCGTCGAAAAAAATCCCCATGTTGTCACATGTCTGATAAGAAAGTCATTCCTAGCCAATCAGTAAAGCAGATGCTTAAAGGTCAAAGATGATTGACAGATCTTAAACAAAAGTTTTGTGTGCTTTTGTTGCAGAGCCATCCCATTTTCTTGTCTCTTTATTCTGATTAGACGTGAATTAAAAGTGCCAAGTTATCAGACAGCGAAACTTGTGATTAGACATGAATTAAAAGTGCCAAGTTATCAGACAGCGAAACTTGTGATTAGACGTGAATTAAAAGTGCCAAGCTATCAGACAGCGAAACTTGTGATTGGACGTGAATTATAAGTGCCAAGCTATCAGACAGCGAAACTTGTGATTAGATGTGAATTAAAAGTGCCAAGTTATCAGACAGCGAAACTTGTGATTAGACGTGAATTAAAAGTGCCAAGCTATCAGACAGCGAAACTTGTGATTAGACGTGAATTAAAAGTGCCAAGCTATCAGACAGCGAAACTTGTGATTAGACGTGAATTAAAAGTGCCAAGTTATCAGACAGCGAAACTTGTGATTAGAC